AGAGGGTGTGAATGTGGACATCACTAGGAGTGAAGAGAAGATTTATAGTCACACCCATCCACACCCACATGTGAACATCCAATGTATGGTTTTTGATGACGTTTTTAATAGAAAAAACCTTTGAAGGTTAATAAATCATCTCACGAAGTTGAAGGCGACTAAAAGCTTGAAGAAGAAAGTATTTGTTAGCTGTTCAGATTTTGAAAAAATTGATGAGTAGCCTTCAGTAAAATCTTTATATCTTTTGAGCGCAGTCAGTTATCGATCTCGACCTTGCGTAGATCAATACAGGAGAAGTTAGGCTATCTGCCCATTATATTACAGTTGGGAAAGTATATTGTTTTCAAATCGAACTAAGCTCCTCTTCAAAACTCATGATGTATTCAAGAAGAAAACGACTGGAATTTTTCATCTACTTCGTAGAAAGATAGAGCAATGACAACCTTAGACAGTACGAAAAAATTCAAGTTACTTCTTCCTTTTTATTGAAAAATTATTAAAAAAATACCCACGACCATTTAATTCTGAAATGGACATTAATTATTATTTCCAATGTGATATAGATATACATTAAAAAGAACTAAATCATGATTCTCTTTTTTCTTTAATGGTGAATTCTTCAAGATTTTTCTTTTTTATTCTTCGTTTTTTTATTTTTAAAGAAAAAAATTCATAATCGTTTGTAGCAAGAGCTTCGCTTTCAACAGATCGTAGATATAAACATACCCTCTAATCAAAAATCATATTAACAAGAGAAGCATAATCAGTTATATATTTAAATTAGTATCATTATCAAATTACACTGTCATTCGATTATCTTGAACATTTTCAATAAAAAAAACATCATTCAAAGATCTAAAGGGTGTGGATGTGGTTCAGTGAAGAAGAATAACCCACACCCATTCCCACATTCCACCTATATCGACATCCACACCTACACCTCACACCCACACTCTTTCTGCAATTTGTTTTGATTTTTATGCGTTTAGAGGATGTGCTGAATTTTACAGCTGTTACTACTACATCAAATGTAACATTATGCAACACCATTGTATCATAACGAATTTTCTCGACCTGGAAAATGGAACGGGAACGGGAATTCCCGAAATGACTGCATAATCAGGAACACCAGAACGGAAACGGAAACAAAAAAAGCCGTTTCCCCAGGACTCTAGTGTAGGGTGTGGGTGTGGGTCAAGAGACGGTCCACACCCACACCCTATGTAGCTGTATTATTGGGCTATTCAATTGACTGTTCGACGATTCGTAGAATACTTTGATCTTCAAATGCATGCTTATACTTTTCTCATGTCATGAAGAAGATTAGTTTTATTTGTGTAGTAAATATTTAAGTAATAAGAATAAGTCTTTTGACGAAGAGTTCCAATACCATAATACTTCATAAAGGATTTTTTAAATTGCCAATGGATTATTTGCTACATTCAGCTGGTTTAAAATCTTCATACTTCGGTGGTTGATCAAGAAGTTCATCCTCAAATTGACCGTTTCGAGCAAAAACAGAAAGACGCGGTGCATCATCGTAGAATTTTTGCCATTGCACCGCCAATTCCGGTGTCCATTTGAGATCGAGCAACCATTGTTTGATTTCTTGATAATCAAATTTTGATCTGTTTAACATATAAATATAAGGTTTTGACATAATTCGATCAAACTTACGAAGAATTCATCATTTTTTGCCATGATTCTATAGTATTCATTGTATAACATGCAGAAAAATCGTCTACTCGAGGATAGTAAGTGAAAAAGTGAAGACACATGTAATTTTTTGTTCGTTCACCTCCCTAAGTAACAAGAATAATGTATCGATCAACGAGTAACACATTCGTACCAGCGTAATCGTGTCCTTGTTCATTGTGTTGTATACACATTGAGTGGAGAACTCGTCTCCCTACAATACGAAAAACATTATAAAATAACGTATAAATTAATTTTTCACACTAGATAAAGCTTGATTGGTTTCGTTAAACGATTCACATATTGATAATTGAAACCATACGACTCAGCGTTGAACAAATATTGAACAGCAGTTTTGTTTCGAATCAGTTTTGTCCACATACTACGACCTAGCATAGGGAAACGCGCAAAAATTGTGGACATCCTGTTCAATATTTATTTACCTTGCAAGTGATTATGTGGCATGGCGGACAGGACTGTGATGCCCGATTCAGGAAAATTCTAGAATAAAAATGTTCATGTTTCCATTTGCGAGCTCAAAAACAAACTTTACACGAGTAATTTTGGCTGGGCAATACGAATCAACCACAAATTGTTCAACTAATGGCAAAATAGCAAGACCGAGAGGATTTGAAAGTATACCAAAGGTAAGATAGCCAAGATCGTGTTGACGAAGTTCGTTGCTAGGATAAAATCGAATGCCTGAACTATTACGATGCTCTCAAATTAAATCGAAACACTTAGATCTGTTCAATAGACAGCAACAGCGACCTACTTGGACGTTGTCTTGTATTTTCATAGTGCATTTGAACCATGTAGTATTTAATGGAAGAGTCACCGCCAACTGGATATTCGGCCTCTTCAGTATACTCGGCCACCTATTCAATTCAGATAATGATTTCTTGTTTCAATTATTAATCTTACATAGTCACCACCAACTGCTCATACAGTGACAAAATTAGTTGAACATGATTCAATTTGGCTCACAATTTCATCACACACACCGCTGGGTAAATTGTTATCATCGAACAGCTATAGACCTGTGGCTTTCATCGTTTGAAAGAAAGTACCAAGTCACACTGATTTATTTTAGAAAACATGCATTGATCAGTGGTCAAGTTTACATTTAATTGTAGTATTGCGATAAAAAACATTAAGCTTGTTTGATCTATTTTAGTCACTTTAAACAGACTTCAGGATAGTATTTGTTTTCATTTTACAACATAGCTTGGAATTGAAAAATCAAGATTTTAAAAATATCTTTTTGGTATCTCTATGTCTCATTACGGCAGTAGGTGGGCTATTCCATCAAGACACTACCACGATATTTAAAACTATCCTTAATGTGGACTATAAAGAGTTTTGATTGGCTATGAATAGCTAAACAAAAACTATATCGGATGATGTATTTCTGAAATGACTTTCATGATGGCCGATAGCCTTCCTTTTGATTACACTTCATTGCGTCTTCAGTGTCCCTATAAACAGAGTGATGAAGCTTTTCAGAAAGATCTACGATACTTTACAGGCTACTGTATTGTATCACGTTATTGGTCATGACATCAGATATCATGGTGTCATTTTCTCTATCAAAGAGTCTTCCAAATGCAAAAACAATCATAGATGAAGAGTCAATATCAAAAAGTGCATAGAATGGAGTTGGAAAGAATCAACCATCAGAGACTTCAACTTTTTGTTATTACATGCAACAAAAAGATCAAAAGTTGAATTTGGCGTTTTAATCCATAACATACAATTCATTCGATACACTGTTTGATGCTGATTCTTAATCTATAATTGAGAATCAGAGTCGAAAAGGTGGTTTGCCTTCTCACTTATTCAGCTTTTTAAATTTTCAACGTCCATGCAAAACTTCAACTCAAACCGATGACCATTGCGATACGAAAAGACAAATCGCCATGTCGACTTCTACACTCCTGAAACATTGTTGAATCACGCTATGCGAGAGTTTTTGACAGAACATTTGTCGTCAAAAAATTGGTCTTAGTATTTTTATTCCTGTTGGTCCATTCCAAATTGAAGTCAGAACCTTTTTTCACCAAAATAATCAGCATCAAAGCCTCCACAGACTCAAAATTTTACACAATCTGAAAATCGTCAGCACAAACCTGATAGAGATTCCATACAATCAGTCTGCTAGCTTTCCTAACGTTCGACCATGTAGCTTCACATTGCTTTGAAAATGAAACAAACCTCACCATTCTACTATGCGAATGATCAAAGATCATATGGATGCTTTTGGGATTCGTGAAAGAATATTTATATTCCTTAAATGAAGCACGCTAGTGAATTCGGTTTCAATTTAAGATTAAAAGGGTTTCATTTTCTTTATGAAAAGGTTAGATTCAGAATCCGTTACAATAAATAATGAAGGCATCGTTCTTAAAATGTACAGGGAAAAGTTGCCCACTAGTCAATTCATGATTTCTATTTTTTCTAACATAGATCGGCGTGACTCAGCATTTTCTTGAAAACGGCGAAAACTACGCGCGGCTAGCTATTTGTGTACTCCCTTTATTCAGCGCACAATCATCTCCACTATATTTAAAAAGAACAGTCATGCTTACTGCGATTGCATGCCGTTTCATTTTATAATTGGCTAGCGCTTTGTATATTTGACAGTGATAGGTCGTATCGTTCGAGGGCACAAGATACTAAAATAGAGTAATAAAATATATAGAAGTTCATTAGAAACAAAAAGACAACCGACATTATTAAGACGAAAGTCGAAGAAATCAAGTTCAGCAAATTTGTCTTCAGGTGGTGGTTGACCATAGGATCGAAGTGGAATGATGCGTGAACCTCGTCGAGTATCATGGTAGGAAATGTCACTGTCTGGCATAGATGGGTCCAGATCGACGAGACCATATGCAAAGATGATAACGTTGGTTCCAGACTATGTAAAATATTCGCATTTCTAAGGTTTCTCTTTTTTTAAGAAAATATATTGAATGTGAAAAAAGATGTTCATCGGTTTTTTCGAACTTGATTTGCTATCCGAGCATCAATGAACATTGTTACGGTGCAAGACATCATATTCAAAAATAATAACATTTCACATTCGAGTGATTATTTCGACAAGAGATTTTATTTTCGAACAGAATTTTCATTTTTACAGTCTTGTATTTATGGTAAGCGAAATCTAAGACTAAATTCCATTGAAAATGAAATATCAGTGATTTAACGTTTGAATTATTTCGTTTTAACTATACAGTACAAATTCTTTTTTACGCGCATCAGTACCTGTCTGACCAGTCGTTCGCCTACTGTGGCATACAAGTTTGCCTTTGTGAGTATTCATATTGAAAGTATTATTGTTATTCCCTGTTGCATATCTTTTTACATAAATTGCAAATGTTCTCTGATGAAATAATTACAACGATCATAAAATAAATAGATGTATTCATAAAAAATATTAAACTACAATGAGAAATGATTACTGCGTCCATATAAAAGTCCTTCGTCTTTTTACGGGTTTAATCGTTGCTGTTGATATTTGTTATAAATCCAGATAATGTATTTGAATCGAATATAAACTAAGTAGGGAGTACCAAGATGATGAAGAAGAGACGACACACGAGAAGGCAGAGAAATGGAAGAAAAGGAACAAAGAAAAACACACACCCCTCTCATCAAAGCGCATCACATATATACATCCTCATGAGTCAAGACTCCTGCGTCAAGCATCTCGTGCTCATGACTCAAGGAATCTCGACTCAGAGGATATAACCGTATGATATCATGGCTGGAGGCCATGACACCTCCCCCCTTCAACACAGTGGTGCACACACCATGATGAGAGATGAAGAAGAGGAAAGAAAAAAAGAAAATGAAAGTACGAAAGAAAAAACAAAACAAAAGCTAGCATGAAAGAAACAAACCCAAAACGAAGAGAAGAAGCAAAAAAGAATAAACATTGTATGAAAGCGCAAATCGTCAGTTATTATAGTGTATTGTTACGTGAGTGTGAGAATTGTAGTAACCGGTGGAATATTGGTAGAAGTGGATGCACATCGAAATAGTTTAAATAACAATCGACGATAAATGTACATCCCAACGCCGACACAACAACCAATTAGACAAGCAGTAAGCACAACAATAAGGAGAAACACTATTGCATAATCACGCCACGTATGTTGGAAGACCTGTGAATGAGAATAAAGCGCAGATGCCACATGATTAACAACATCAACATGAACATTTGAGGATGGAGATAGTAATTTAGTATCTAACACCGCCGCAGAGGCAAATGAGGTCCAAGTTAAGAAGAGTAGGCTGAGGAACACCAGAAATAGTACCATGATGAAAAATAATGTTGTAAAGATCAGAAAACAGATTATATACCGGCAGAAATAATGAATGACGAAGATGATCAGGAGATATAAATTCCAAAAAATAAGGCTCACATGATAGAATAGTGATTCAAGAGAAGATGATAACATTGGAATTTGAACAAGTAAAACGCATACCACACAGACACGGGTTGCCACTACCCAGGGATTGTCTTGTGATGATAGAGAGAAGAGAAAAGAAAATGATAACATGAGAATGTAAAAAAAAGAAGCAAAATATGTGTATTAGTTAAAGTGACGTTTAACCACTGGATGAAGTTGATTAACATGATACCAATTAGTTAGACCAGTAAGATTATTCTTAACAAGGTAGTGTTGTTGACCAGAAGTGTCAATAATAATACAGGGGCCAAGGCGGCGAGCATCTAATTTGGAACGACCGGCAGGAATATGAACATAAACGAGGTCGCCGATTTGATAAGATGGATCACTGCGATATTGATTATAACGTTTTTTCCAGTGGGATTGATGATATAGAATATTTGTTCGAGCTTTGTTTGTAAGCAAATCACGAACACGTTGAAGATATGGATAGAAAGAATGAAGAGGAGGTAGATGAACAATAGGAGAGGCTAAATCAAAAGGGCTCTTAGGTTTACGAGCAAAAGCAAGTTCATAAGGAGTAAATTTGGTGGTGGAATGAACACTAGTATTGTAGGCATAAACTATAGAAGGAAGATATAGATCCCAATCAGTTTTCTCAGAGTTACAATATTTAGCAAGTTGAGCTGCAAATGTAGCATTGAAGCGTTCGACTTGTCCATTAGTTTGAGGGTGATAAGAGGCAGAAAAAATATGAGGAGTATTCAGGGCATTAGTGATGGTACGAAGGAGATTGTTGTTAAAGTGGGATCCTTGGTCTGTAATGAGACGTTCGGGAGCGCCATGAACTAAGATAAAACGGTCAATAAAAAATCGCGCGGCGCGTGCAGCAGTACAATCAGGTACTGGTTCAGCAATAACGTATTTAGATAAGTTGTCTGTAAGTACAATAACATATTTATTGCCGTGAGCAGAAGGTATTCGAACCGGACCCCAGAAATCCATATGAAGTACTTGAAAAACAGCTGATGGTGGTTCAATAGACTTAAGATGGCCAGGAGGCTTGGAACGTAAAATATTATACTGAGCACATTTAGTGCAAGAAGCAATATAATTAGAAATAGATTTACGCATTGTAGGCCACCAAAACTTATCATGAATACGAGAGAGTGTACGATGAACACCAAAGTGTCCACTTAAAGGATGATCATGATAAAAATGAAGTACTGAGGGTATAAGAGATTTAGGAAGATAAGGAACACGAGAGGATTTGGATGTAACACGATAAACGACGTCGTCATCTAGAAAAAAATGGGGATGAGACGAATTTTTCTGAAGTTGTTCAAAAAGAGAAAATATTTGGGGGTCAGACTTTTGTTCAGATTTAAGGCGAGCGAAACTAATATCGTAATTTAATTCGCTAATAGGTGTAGATAATTGGGGAGGTGATGGTGAGTTAGGTAGAGGATCACACTGTTCCTCTTCACCATCATCTACTTTATGAACAACAGGAGTGAATTTACTGGAAGAAGAAAGAGCACGAGTTTTAGATCGAGTAACTACAGGTGAAACGATGATTGAATTCCAAGTTTCAGTGCCAGGTGGCCAAGTGTCATCGGAAGAAGGCAAAGTAGTAAAGGAAGAACGTTGAAAACGTTGAGGAAGAGGTGTTGAAGAGTTTAAAGAGTCATCGGAAGAATCGGAAATATCATAACGAGTTAAAAAATCAGGTCCGGCATTGTCAATGCCTTTTCGATATTTGATTTCAAGAATTTGGGGAAGAAGGTCCTGTAACTTTAAAAGCCAATTATCTATCCTTTTGTTTCGAAAATTATACTTTTTATGCATATTCGTCAAGGGTTGATGATCAGTCTCAATAATGACAGATGAAGTACCAATACAGGGGCGTAATTGATCGAGACACCAATAAATGGCAAGAGCTTCTCGTTCCGTGGTAGAATACCGACGTTCAATATCAGATAATAACCGAGATTTATAATAGCAAATTTTTACACCAGTAGAAGAGTTTTGTTTAAGGACACCGGCTATCCGAGTAAGACTAGCATCCGTAGATAAAATAAATGGAAGAGATGGATCAGGGAAATGAAGAAAGAGAGGAGAAGTAGTTAGAATTGTTTTGAACTGTTCAAATGCAGCTTGCTGTTCTGCGTGCCAATAAAACTCATGTCGTTTAGTACGTGTCTTATTGGTAACTTTATGTAAAGGAGCGGCAATAGCTGCAAAATCAGGGATGAACTTGCGATAATAACCTATTTTCCCCAGAAATTTATTTGCTTGCGATAAAGTACGAGGTGGTGGTATATCAAGGATAGCTTGAATTTTGTCTGGTGTTGGTTGAACAGTAGTAGCACTGACAATATGACCGAGAAATTCAATTTGCTTAGCGGCAATTATACATTTAGCAGGGGAAACTTTGAAATGAGCTTTGTTGAGTACAGATAAAACTTCATCTACGTGATGTTTATGCTCCTGGAGCGAGTGAGAAAAAATGACAATGTCATCAAGATAAACAACTACATAATCCCATCTACCAGTGGCAAGTAAATTGTTCATAACGCGCTGGAAACTAGCAGGAGCATTCATAAGGCCTTGAGGAAGCACATTAAACTCGTAATGACCGTCAGGTGTAACAAATGCAGTTTTCTCTTTATCTTCTTCTGAAATAGGTATTTGAAAATATCCACTTTTTAAATCGAGTTTAGTAAAATAAGTATGTCCGGAAAGACGATAAATCAACTCTTCAGGTGATGGTTGTGGATAAGCATCTTTCTTTGTGATGGAGTTAAGGCGACGAAAGTCAATAAGAAAACGAAACGTACCATCAGATTTCTTTTTCAATATAACAGGAGACGACCAAGGAGAAGTGGATGGACGAACTATTAGATCTAATAGGAGTTTATCAACTTCTTGTTGTAGCTCTTTGCGTTGTTCAACAGTACGATAGTAAGGACGAACACTAATTGGGGGGTGATTACCGGTACTGATGACATGAGGAAGCTGAGTTTTAGCAGTAGTACATTTGGACAAGTCGAATACATCACGATGCTGTTGCAGAATATTATAAAAAATCTGTTGTTCTGAAGAATCTGTAATAGAACTGACTAACTCTTGGATAATGCTATCTACATCAGAAGACTGGTTAGTAGAGTTGGTCTGAATAGACGAGAGAGTAATAAAAGAAGACTTAGGAAGTAAAAAGCTTGTAGAAGGAGGGAAAGATGTGATTTTGATTGGTAGTGGTAAAGGAGAAAAAAAAGTAATATTACCAAGAATGGTACCTTGACGCAAGATAGATGAAGTTTTAGAAAGATTAGAGATAACAATAGAAGTTTGAAAATTAGTTACACTTAGAATAGCGTCCGGAATAAAAATATTTTTTGTCTTACAGAGTTTTGTATCAGGTGAATAGGAGACTTGAGAAGCAGTTGAAACAGGTGTAAAGAGTCGAACAATATGTTCATGATAAGGAGAGAGTTGGATGGTTTGAGAAAGACGAACTGGAATGGATATATTGGTATGAAATTGAACAGTTGTTTTGCCATATTGAGGATGATGAAGAAGCAGTTCTTGTTCAGATATACGAATTACAACATTGTACTTACGACACCAATCCATACCAAGGATGAGATCGACACTTAGTGAATCAACAACCACTGCTGAAGTATATGTAGGAATATTATTAATACGGATACATAATCGAACGATTCCATGAACTGATATGGTGGTATTCGCATCACCTAGTACCGCAGTAGTTATAGGAGTTTTGTAAACAGGAGAATGAGGAATGGTGTTAAGAAGAGAACGAGTGATTAAAGTATGTGTAGCACCGGTATCTAGCAATGAATGTACAGTGGAGCCATGAACAGTAACAGGAATAATAATAAGCGATGGATTTATAGCATGAATGGAGGCACGACCATCATGAGCCTCCTTTAATCTTTTGGGCGAGACGGACAGTGAGATGATATATGACCAGGTTGACCGCATGAGTAGCAAACAATCGCATGACGCGGAGACATTGACATATTAACATCCGGGTATGATTGTGGAGAAGGATAAGAGTAAAAAGATGCCGGAGTATTATTTGAGTTATTGTATGACATAGTCGAGTAAGGAGTAGACATTAATGGTGGTGGATACGATAGGGTAGATGATGATGGAAACCGATTTTGATAGTATTTTTGCGGATTATATCGCTTTGAAACATTTGAATACGACGAGAATGTAGATGGAAGAATAGCTGGAGCACGTTTGCGAGCATCAAGAACTGCAGTATCAAGTTCAATACGTTGAGCGCGATGTAGTAGAAGTTGTGGTGTAATAAAATCTTCACCTTGTAATTTTTCATATAAGGTTATTTTCATACCAGCTTTTAACCAATCAACAATTTGAAGATCAGTCATATCAGAGTCATGTTTTCGACATAAATCAATAATAGACTCATAATATTCAGTAAAAGGCTCATTGTCACCTTGTTTTCTGTCTTTTAATAGCTGGAGATTCATATCGCGAGATGTAGTAATTAAATGAGGAAAAGCAGCTATTATTGCATTAGTATATTCAGTCCATGACGAAAGTTCATCCCGATGAGCAAGATGCCACTTTAAGGCATTTCCCGTAAGATATTGCGGTATAAATCGACGTTTTTGAGAAGAATCATAACCAATAATATCAAATTTTAATGATACAATCTCTAACCATTCTTTGATATCTTCTTTAGATTGTCCAGAAAATACTGGGATAGTATCAATGATTTTGCTATATTGTTGTTCCTCCATGGTAATAATAGAACGATTTATTTTAGAATCAAAGTGAGATGGGTTATCTTTGGATACAGACTTAGAGCGAGATCGGGCTTCGTGACGGATATTTCTTTCTTCAGCTTGTATAGCTGCGCGTTCGTGAGCTTTGCGTAGTTCTTCAGCGAGCATATACTTGAATATGATCCGAATTTACAGTTTGAATATTGAGTCTACTGATCAGTGGTTTCAGCAGACCGGCTAGTGCACCATTGATATGACCACACACAAGAAGGCCGAGAAAATGGAAGAAAAAGAACACGGAAAAAATCACACTCTCCTCTCATCAAAGCGCATTACATATATACATCCTCATGAGTCAAGACTCCTGCGTCAAGCATCTCGTGCTCATGACTCAAGGAATCTCGACTCAGAGGATATAACCGTATGATATCATGGTTGGAGGCCATGACACTCCTGATTTCCGACGAGTCTTCCGAAAAAGGTTTAGAGTGGGATAGTCGGCCACGCTGAACCAGTGGGTGACGCTTATTTTCAGTTTCATAGCGATGTAAAACCCTTACAACGGGATTTTCGAAACATTTCTGGTTCACACTGTAGGATGTTTCGAAAATCATTCCGTAGTGGTTTTAGATCACTGTGAAACTAAAAATAAAACTTCACTAATCGACGCAGCATGGCTGATTCCTAGTGGCCAGATCTATTTTCACAAAACCCGATCGAAACCGGGGATCTCAGAAAAACCCTTATAACTGTTGGATGAAGCAAGCTAATGAACTGGGATTTACATGCATCGAAAGTTAACATCTTTTACTCTTGAATGTTCATATCGAAAAATATTTTCAAAATGTCAAGCTAAACCTCTTCTGATTGGTCGATTGTTGATTAATTAAATTTTAACAACTCGTTACTTTCGACTACTGAAAACCGCAGATCTCAATCTGTTTTCGTCCTGAGGTTATTCAAGTCACAATCTGAGTGCATTAACTTTTGAAATGGATAATAGTTGCTGAACAGCTGAATTTTTTGGTTTTCATTTTCTCATATTCTTGTTGGGAATAATTTCCGCTACTCGAATCATTTCATTTCGTTTCACTAGGAAGGATATAATTGAATCAATGTAAAGTTTCTTCTCTTCCTTGATCGTTCTTTATTTATCAATGTGATGTTTTAGAGTCGAAGACTTCTTCAGACACTTACATAAAACAATGACACAGTCGTGCACCCACGAACGCATGCACTTTTTATGTACACACTATACTTCTCGAAAATTCTCCCGTCTTATTTTTTCATGTTTTCATTCTTCTTTTTCTCTTTTTCGTTGTTTCTTCTTTTCCGTTCTTCGTTGTTTGATAATAGGACGGGAGAAGAAGAGCAGCTTCTTGATAGAATTCTCCAGTATCACCGTCTTACAGTCCCACTATCAAACAATGAAGAACGAAAAAATGAAAAAATAAGACGGGAGAATTTTCAAGAAGTATATTGTGTATATAAAAAGTGCATGCGTGCACTAGTATGTTATTGTTTTATGTAACTGTCTGAAGAAGGAGTCTTCGACCCTGAAATGTCAAATTGATAAATAAAGAAGGATCGAAGAAGAGAATAAACTTTACGTTGATTCTACTCGAATCACTATTTAGGTTCTATTTAACGACAAAAAATTGAAAGTAAACCTGCTTGAATAATTTTGGTAGTCATTGTAAATGTCTGTCTATCCTTATGTTTCATAGAGAGATGGAATTCGATATAGTTCTGTTGAATGGTCGTGTGATTGATTCTGAAACGAATTTGGATAGTATTTGATCAGTTGGTATTCGTGATAGATTAATTGTTTCGATTAGTGAAAAACCAGTGAAAGGTAGATTAGAACTGGATATAATAAATTGGTTTGTATATCCTGGTTTTATTGATGTTCGTTCTCATGAGCATTCGAACGAATATAATGCACTAAAAGTTCAAGACGATGTAACATCCATATTTGAACTTGAAGTTGGTACAAATAATGTTGATAAATGGCATGCAGAACGAGAAAATAAGACAATTATTAACTATAGTGTCAGCATTTGACATATTCAAATACGCATGAAAGTATTTGATCATCCTGTTAGGTCCTTTGCCCGTTTCTTTATTATTCTTATTCCTCTCTTTTTAAAACAAAACAAGCGAATGAATCAAAAATAAAAGAGCAGCAAAGAATGTTGTTTCTCTTTTTCTCTCTTCTTCCATGATGAAAGTACGATTGAGAGGAAGAATAAGAATGCCATTGGGGTGCAGTAATGATATCACAAGAACATGGAGTCTCCTTATGTCAGGAGAGACATCTTCTGACATAACACTTCCCCCCGCCAGAAGAATTGTACAGAAAGTGAAAACATTGTTTCACGCAGTTGAAGCAAAGATTAGATAGGCTTATTAATAATACTGGTGTAATTGACGAAAGTAATGAATAAACGTTGTGGAAATAAATCCAAATGTTTAGAATTTCTTGTGTCTTTGATAAAATGAACAAAGCTACCATATCTAAAGTTGTGCACATACGAAAAAAAATAGAATAATGATGAAGTTTAGACGATAAGAATTGCGAGAAAATGTGATGAAAATAAAAGTACAAGCATGCTTGCTAGATTTTGATCGAAATTCCAATAAAAAGATAAGTGAGCGTTAATAAAAATGAAGACGTGCGAATAGTTTTGTAAATACTGTATTCGAATTCCACTGGTCCGTTCCATTTGCGCAGAGAGAAGTATCATTTCACCTGCTGTCTATTACTAGAATGTTTTGCTAAGGTACAGCTAAAGCTCGAAACCATTCAAAGTGATTCATGTGATGAAATATCATATTATTAGCTAAATATCTAGTCGTAGTATCATTATAAAATGTTAAACAAGAAGCAAGATTGTCAAATACGATACTAACAACTAGAAAACTGAGTAGAATTATATCAGATGAAACTGATGGAAGAATATTTGAGTTAAATTGCTCGTTTAAAAAAATTTGAGTTGGTCTTAACGAAAATATTATAGCATCGCTGTGACAGAATTCAGAATAAAGATCAGTAATCGAGCTTGACATTTGTTGAACTATTGATGATGAGACATTGATAGAATTCGATAAATTTTCTTGAGAAAAATTATCATCAATATTTGAAGTTGAGTTAAAGGGTAGTTTTTGTTGCTTGGATTGAATAAATTGACATCGCTGCGGTAATTCATCATGAATGAACCATGATTCGCATCCATCAGGCCAAAACATATCACAATTGTTTTCACCACTATCCACAATGCACGTATTGAGCAAGACAATATTATTAAATTCAACTAATGTAGCGTGAGAATAATCAAAATTTACTTCATTTTCTTTCAATAATTCACATTTGTGTCTCTCTTTAATGCCATTATCATAAAACATCATCGTTTCGTCCAAGACGTGCACACACTGGTTTATTTGAGATACAACATCTTTCGTCAGTAATGTTGACGCAAACACTTTTTTGAATTCTTGAATAAATGTTGGCCATGAATCCAATACGAACAAATTTTCGAGGAGCCATCTTCTCGCATCACCGTTTAGATACCCCGATATAATCGTTACTTTTTGATCATCAGTAAGTTCAGTATAATTCAATCCAGCTATAATGTCTTTCAGCCATTGAACAGCGTCTTCGTTGTGTTTACCACTGAATGTTGCTAATGTGTTCAAATGATTTAATGACATCTATCTAATTCTTCATAAATCATATGCACAATCAATACCGGCTAGTGCACCAAATTGTTAGGTCCTTTTTTCCCGTTTCTTTATTCCTTCTTTCTTCACAAAAACAAACAACTGACTGAATCAAAAGTGAAAAGCAGCAAAGAATGTTGTTTCTCTTTTTCTCTCTTCTTCCATGATGAAAGTACGATTGAGAGGAAGAATAAGAATGCCACTGGGGTGCAGTAATGATATCACAAGAACATGGAGTCTCCTTATGTCAGGAGAGACATCTTCTGACATAACACATCCACCAAGTTTTCTACCATATCAACCCTGACGACTCGACGACATTAAAAATGAAATTGAATATGGGATTCGACGAGGTGCAATCGCTGCTGGTTTCGGTATGCAATACGTACCAGCATGAACACGATAAGAAATTGTTGAATGTTTTCGTTCGGTAAAAAAAATATAATTTATCTTGTCATGTTCACATGCATCATCGTGGTGCACAAGAAAAAGATGGTAGTTTAGCTGCACTTCAAGAAGTACTGGCTTTAGGAACATGTACATAAGCAACAATCAATGTTTGCCACATGCATAGCACTTGTCGACGTGTGACGGACAAAGCACTTGAGCTTATACATGATTCACATAAGAACGGAATGGATATTACTGCAGAATTTTGTAAGATTTCAAAACTGTTGTCGGTGTCAGAGTTAATTAAGGGTGAATAAAACACGAATAATTCGAGAATGGAAGCTCAATCGACAAATCAGGTGAGCTTTTGCTTGACATTTTGTAAACGATATTCAGAATGGATTTTCTAGTCGATTCGGACTGGAAATGAGATCATTCTATAGAAAAAAATGTACTCTTTCGATCTACACAAGGCCGAATTCGCTAGCTTGTTTTTCTAAGAAGCTGTAAGCATTTTTCGAAGAGCCTAAATTTCGATTATTGAATCTTAGATCAACGCCAAATAGGTCTAGGTAGGGGTAATCGACCAGGTAGAGTCGAGTGATGATGCTTATTTTCAGTTTCAAAGTAACCTAAAACATTTTTATTAAGATTTTGACAATATCTACTCTATACACTAGCTAGCGACAGAAAGTTTAAATATCAAAGAACTTAATAAAAATGCTTTACGTTACTTTGAAATTGAAAACAAACATCACTATTTAACTTCGCGTAGTCGATTACTCCTATTTCGACCTATTCAATGTTGATCTAAGGCCCAGCAGTCGAAATCGGAGCTCTCCGGACAACGCTTACAGGTACTGAGAGAAACAAGCTAAGCGAGTTTGATCTTGCGTAGATCGAAAAAAAATTATTTTTTCATTTAAAGTTCGAGTTGAGTAAAAAACCGTCATAAGTATCGTTTGCACAATGTTAAGCAAAAAGTACACCTGATTGTTCAATTGGTGACTCCCCTCAGATTTCAATTCATGTTTATTTTCCATGTATTGCTCTTTCGAATGCTGAAAATTGCAAGTGGCTAGTTGCCGTCGTTCTTGAGCTCATCGCATTTTACTCATCCCTACCTAATTCTGGCATTGAAAATAGTTTATAGTAAATGACTTATTTTTTTTTGTTAGATCCATATTTAGTTGGTTGTAGTAGTGTCGATTCACCGGCGCATAACGACAATGTCTGGCAGGAACGGTCGGATGTCGCTTATAACGATGTGATATATGTGAGCACAGGAGAACGATTCGATGCGAACAGTTTTGCCGAGTATCTTCAAGTATTTGGTCTAATCATTGATGGAAGCGGTCCGAAAAATAAATCTACTACCGGCACAACTATTGAAAAGTGCTTCAGAACAGATGAAGAAAAAGGCTGTATTTGTGTTGGTGCAACTGCAGATTTATGCATTTTCGATCCACAGACAATTATTGATGAAGCTACGTATCAGCAACCGACTCTTCCATCCAAGGGTATCATGCATGTACTCATCAACAGAGTGTTTATCGTTCGAGATGGCCATTTAGTTACTTTTAGTGGCGAAGAGAAGCTGCCAGGCAAATCTTTGCGTAGTGTTATTCGAGATTGGATACAGATTTTTTGAAGTACTTGTTGAGAATGATTTTTCTATCAAGACGATATATATCATTAAGGCTCTGTTCCTTAGTTGATTTTTGTTGATTCCGATTTGTTCTTATTTATATAATAAAAGTCTTATATTTATATATTCTACCACGTATATGATTGTGAATGTACCATTAGACATTGTTCATCTCATTTTATTCTTTTCATTTCAACAATCATTTTCGTAATAACCGAACAAGTTTGGAAGATAATTGTCAATACTATTATTTCAGTAAATGATTCATGTTTTTATTTAATTTAATTTTACATATATGTGCTATTCATTTCAAAGTAGAATGCAGTTGGTTGCTTGTTGAATGACTTCAGAGTAGGTACAATAGGTGGGAGCCAATACTAAACTGTGCCCCTCCTTTTTCTTCATTATTTCAATAGATTTCAGCACCGCTCATTAGAATAAATAGTTCATAATATGTCGAAAAAACTGCAAAAGCACGAGAGTTTGACATACCTAGCAACATCTTTTCGCAAAATCATAACGTATGGGGTGCAAAACTCATATTGTGGATTTATAAAAAAAAAGTATCGTGCAAGCATTTCAAACTCTTGCGTCTGTGTAGCTTTTTAACGCATACTATGACCTACTTATGGCAAAAAACGGTGTCGGGATCTATTGGACGTAGGAATGTGTGTGAGTCTAAGTGTGGCTATGGGTATGTGTGTGAGTGTGGATGAATGTGGGTGTGAGAGTGTCGGTGTGGGAGTAACTCTCTTCTGAACTCATAGCCACACCCCACATCTCAAGTCGTCCAATAAAACTTTAACTACGCGCTTTTTCTGTCTTTTGAGAAGCCTATTGAAGAGTATGGGAATCGAAAATTTTGATACCAATAGAAGAAAAATGAGTATGCTAGGATTGTAGCCCAAAGTTTGACTTTGTATCGCTATGTGGTTAGCTTTTCTTAATAGAAAGCAAAAATTTTTAAATTAGTTATATATTTGATTATGATTCAAGAAATACGTTGTATAATTGTGAAATTGTATCAGGCATTTTAATTCGTATTTTGCAAATGATTAACCAAAGTTTTCTTTGATTCTTATATAGTACCCAGCTTCAATCCACGGATCGATAAAAAGTGGTGACGTGACAAGCAACGCTCCCATAGTCCATATCCATCCCATGAACTTACCCACAGGAGTCCTTGTCTTCGTTGATAGTTTAATGGCAATTTCTATGGAGATTAACACAGCTTGCAACAAGAAGAAAAGCATGTTCTTGCCGGTCCACAGATCACTGACTATCCCTAATATAAACTCATGAAATACGCCCGATATAGCAAAAGCAAGAAATGCCCTTGTCGTGTTATTCATTGTCTTAGTTGTTCCAGTTAGTTTCGGAATGACAATGAAGGACATGCGATGCAATGTTGCTTTCACAGGAGCATTCCATCGTTGTGACCAAAAGTCGCGGACACTCGTCGATGTGAATGGAAGAGAGGGAAAAGGCGATTTCATTCGAACATTAAACAGAAGACCGGCAACACCGAATATGATATTATACATTATTGAAAGATGAAGATATGTAATGACAGCGAGCAAAACGTGGCGAATAGGCCAGGAGAATGGAAGAAATGATGAAAATGGAAGAGAGAGCCATTCGGCAGGTATGACATGAAAAAGTGCTTGGAGAACGACTATTTGGCCTATAGCTCGCAAAATGGTAAAGATGTTTTCACGACGAGCGTCTATTGCATGTTCTACTGATTTTCCTGCTGAAGATGCAGTCACCAATGGAAAAGCCAAAATGTCTAGAATCACTTCTTTTACTGTCATCCTTCGCGTGTATGTCCATTCTTGGCCAAATGTCAATCCAAGAAATTTCAACGGCAATACGAAACTCATTCCGGCAGTTGGTTCCTCCATGTGTGTCGCTGCAAAGGACCAAGGCGAGTGATATTTGAAGTAGATGGGCGCATAGAAACCGAGTAGAGAACAAATAATCGAGGTCGAATGAAAAAGATGAATCGAGTTGAAACGTTGACTGACCAAGAAGCCGAAGATAAACAGCGAAAGTAGACAAGCAATGAACAACCAGAAATTCATGAAAATAATATCAGCCATGCTGATGAATGAAGAAAAAAATATGACAATGTATATCAGTTGGTCGTTCGTTTCGTACTGATAAGAGCATAGAGAAAGAGTGCAAATGTGTAATTACACGCTGAAATCAAAGAGACCATGGCTCACATTTTGATATACATAAGATATCATAATGAAAACAATTCACATAAACACGAGATTCATTTTTAACGAGTAGGGCAACTAACGATAATGAATAGCGTGTGAGTGTAGGTGTGGACTGTTGCTAACGGCATTGCGATAGTATAATTCATCAAAAACCAGTAGATAGGCATGCAAGCAAATTGTGGTAAATGAATAACAACAGGTATAAAAACCTCATTGAGTCCGCCTGATACAATCATCCATGTGTTCGTTAGTTACGCTTGATTGGATGTGTATTATACATGTATCCATATCGTTAAAAGTCTTAAGAACATTGACGAAAAAGTGCAAACGTCCATTGTCAGGTAAATGGTTGACATTGATATTGGCATGAGTATCGAGCCAGATCATCAAATTTATCGTTTATGTATGAATCGGTCGTACACGATGCACAATACTCTTTTCCGCTGATGCTGCTGCCATAAATAATATGATGAAAGTAACGAGGGTGTGTGTGTGGGTGTGGGTAGAGGTACTCACTTAATGCACACCCACACCCACACCCAAATTTACACAATCGGTCATCAAAATTTTTGAATTGGTCGCTTTCATGAATGGAATAACACAATTTCTTAAAATATGTAAATAAGACTGTTCATGTACTGGCTCATCAACCCATGTCTTAACTTGTTTCCTAGGACGTAGTTGTGATCTTCCATGTAAATATACATCACTTCCATGTTTATTTG